TCAGCTGTGAGGGGGTGCCACTGAGAACTCTGGGATCTAATCCTGAAGCTAAGCTCCTCAGCAGAGAGCACCAAACCTGAGGAGGGTACCCATATAACATCCAGCTGTAAAAAGCAGGGGGGGGGGGGGGGGGGGGGCTGTCTGCCAGGGAGTGGCAGCTGAAAGTTTGGACACCCTCTTGAAGGGCCAACGCACAAAAATTCTCTGTGGAGCCACACACCTTGTGCTCTGGCAAAGAGAGGGTGAAGTGGACTGGAGCTGTGAGAGCAGAAGCCAGGAGTGGGGACTCGGGGGATAGAGCTCAGTGAAAGGGCGAGGACTACGCCCTCCACCTTGCCCCAGGGTAAGGGCTATGCCCTCCATCTTACCTTGGCCATGTGCTCAGCAAGGCTTCTCCCCGGAAGCCAAGCCGCTGCTGGCCACGCCTAGGACTTCTTTGAACTGGCCAATGACAATCAAGAGAAGTCGCCATAGATATGACCACATCCTGTGTGACAAGACACCAACTTGTGCCACCTAGGTTTGAAATAAATGACTCTTTGCTTTTGCATCGGACTCGCTGGCTCCCTGGTGGGCCCTTGGGAATCTTGAAATCTGGGCACAACACTCAGAAGGCAGACACCCCAAGTTTCCTGGGTTGAGCCATTCCCTCACACAGCGGAGGACATCTTTCCCACATAGACATCTGCCTTGAGTGGGGGAAGACAATCGACACACCCTACTGCAGTGGTTCTCAACCTTCTGGCCCTTTAAATACAGTTCTTCATGTTGTGACCCAACCGTAAAATTATTTTTGTTGCTACTTCATAACTGTAATGTTGCTACTATTATGAATCGTAATGTAAATATCTGATATGCAGGATGGTCTTAGGCGACTCTTGTGAAAGGGTCGTTCCACAGCCAAAGGGGTCCCAACACACAGGTTGAGAACCACTGCCCTATTGGAAAACACCTTGCCCTGAGGCCACTTAAGAGATTAAAAGTAACAGTCTCTAGGCAGAAGCAACTGCCCCACCCAGTTGAAAAAAACTCTCGCCATACCTTAGGATGATTGCCTGGGGGCAATTCAAGTCAGAATCCTATTAGTCTGTAGACAGAAGTGGTCTCTGCAGGCTTTGAATCTTTGCCTGATCCAATTAGTCAGAAACAGCCTTTAACACTGTCCTGCACTAGAGATTGACAGGTATAGGAGGATCTATCCAATACATAGTCACAAACCCAGAAAGACAACCAAAATGAGGAAACAAAGAAATAACCCCCAAATGAAAGAACTAGAGAATTCTCCGGAAGAGATAAATGAAGCAGAGATAAGAAATTTATCTGAAACAGAGTTCAAAGTAATGATTTTTAAAGTGCTCAACAGTATGAAAAAAGATATAGTAACTATGAAAAAGAACAGTCTGAGATAAAGAAAGACATAACCCAAATAAAGAACACATTGGAAGGAATACACAGCAAGCAAGCATTACAAGAAATGTTAAAGGGATTGCTTTAAGGGATTGCTGAGAAGAAACAGAGAGAGAAAGCTAGCCATACAGAATTAAAATGGCTATAAATAAGTACCTCTCAATAATAACCCTAAATGTAAATGGATTAAATGCTCCAATCAAAAGGTGTAGGGTAGCTGAATGGATACAAAAACATGGCCCAACTATAAGCTGTCTACAAGAGACCCACCTCAAAACAAAAGACACACACACAGGATGAAAGTGAAGGGATGGGAAAAAAATTTCCATGCAAATGGAAAAGAAAAAAATAAAAGCTGTGGCAGCAATATTCAAATCCAAAAAATAGACTTTAAAATAAGGGCCATCACAAGAGACAACAAAGGTCACTACATAATACTAAAGGGATCAATTCAACAAGAAGATATAACCCTGGTAAACATTTATGCATCCAATATAGGTGCAGCTAAATATATAAAAAAAACTTCTAGAGGACTTTAATGGAGAGATTGACAACAATACAGTCATAGTAGGGGACTTTAACACCCCTCTGACTTCCCTGGACAGATCTTCCAGACAAAAACTTAAACAAGGAAACAGAGACTCTAAAGGAAACACTGGATCAGATGGATTTAATAGACATTCATAGAACATTTCTCCCCAACGCAACAGAATATACATTCTTCTCAAGTGCACATGGATCACTCACAAAAGTATTGAGTTTCCTCAAAAAATTCAAAATGGAACTCCCATTTGACCCAGTCATCCCACTTCTAGGACTATATCCCAAGAAATCAGAAACACCAATCAGAAAGGATATATGCACCCCTATGTTCATAGCAGCACAATTCACCATAGCTAAGATTTGGAAACAGCCTAAGTGCCCATCAGCAGATGAGTGGATTAGAAAACTGTGGTACATCTACATGATGGAATACTATGCTGCTGTAAAAAAGAAGGAACTCTTACCATTTGCAACAGCATGGATGGACCTGGAAAGCATTATGCTAAGCAAAATAAGCCAGTCAGAGAAAGATAAATATCACATGATTTCATTTGTGGAATTTAATGAACAACATAACCTGATGAACAAATATAGAGCTAGAGGGAAAAAATATATAATGGAATATAATAGAAGTAATCCTGGTATTTGCAGATTTTTAGTATTTCCTACAACTTCTGAGATATCATACTATGTTAGTACAGTTTTGGTAATATTATTATACTTGAAATCCTTTTATTCTTGAAGTATCAGTGTTTATTGCATGTAATATTATATGTAAGATCATTTTTCTTGAATAATTGGTATTTACTGCATATAAATTTATCATATTTAAAATCATTTTTCTTGAGATCAAAAAGAACT